TCTAGAACTAGCCTGAATGTCAAAAAGATTTACAATTTTGTAATTGTGAATTAGAAGCAGCAATGCACGAGACTCCTTCAAATCAACCGGAAGAAAAAGATGCATCTTTACAAGCAAAGAATTCTTGCGGGCGATTTTACACGTCTAAACAAATTGACAAGATGGTTGCAGGCTGTGCCAAATATGACTGATTCACGTACACAAGTATTGGTCCTGTCTACATTTGGATGATCTGTCCTATTCTGAAAGTACATGGTCAGTAAATAAAACAGATGTTTAGAATAACTTAGAATAACGAATTCATATACATTCAATCTACGATTAGCTTAATTATATTGATTACAACGTAGGAAATGTCAACATATAATTTACTATGGCTTTAAATATAGAATTATACTTGTAATTTATCAAGAATATTATTTTTTTGTAAAATCTTTCCGTGAAACATCGTTTGTTAGTATATGGGCATACAATCATCAACAATTCTAGATCCATGTCAAAACAGGGTGCAATTTAAATTCGTAGATTAAAACAGGTATATGACTTGGACTCGATTTAGTTGTGGATGCGATCAGCAGAGAACTAAAAAAAGAACATAATCCTGAGCATAGCTAAACAATTACGTCGAGCATTTTAAAAATTTGGGGGTTTGGAAGAAGAAGTTACAAAAGGCCAAATGTTCAAATCTCTACAGCGAGCTATATATTTAAAAGCTGCCACTGATAGAATGAGGTACGTCCTTCTACCATAAAAGTTATTGTAACGAGAGCAAGTGAAACCATTTTGATTAAATAATGCTATAAATTCTTTATGGCGACACCGAGCGCTAGTCTCTCTATTTTCTTTGCCACATGTACGACAATATAGTACTATCATCAATCCTGAAAGTTGATTGATTTGGATCGTGCAGAAATGGATTGGCAAAGTTTGAAGTAGATAAATCGCACGAAACCCTTTCTTCTTTTCTGTCCTCCTCTGGATCCTTTCTCTCGTCTATATGTAAGATGACAATTGCTGTTTCTACCACTTGCCGCGTACGTTGTTGGATTTGAGTTCTCTTTTTGAGGGTATAATTACTTAGAGATGGCTCTTTGACTGCATCAATGCTATCTTCCATCTTTTCATTTTGTACCTCTTTTTCTGGCTGAGCAATTCTCCTCGCAATAAAAGAGTGCTTTCTATATTCTTTCGAATTACTGAACTTAGAAAGTGTAGGGCTAGGCTTGATCGAGGCAGGTTGATAAATATCCTTACTGCGCTTGGGTTAAGTTGTATCTTAGCTCAGATGCAATTCTAAGATCTTATCGAATTCTTTGGTTTTTGTCAGTGTACAAAGAGGGTGAAATGTAAATGGCCAAATTACCCTTGCAACGATCATTTCCTAACCTTACATTAGCAAGATGACTCGAGCTAGCTTGATTAATTGTGTGACCCTCAATAATGATATTGGAGTATAAGTGTTCGAGAATGGCTCGGTTTCTTACCTCCATTTAAGCCCTTATGTGATGTTTCTTAATCGGAGACGGTAGATTGCTATTCGACATGAGGTTGGAAGTAACATTTCGTTGGATATACATATTGATGATAGAGTAAAGGAAAAACACTTCAGGTGAAATAGACATATCAATAAAATTTTTTATGATGACAGCTGTCAAAACCTGTAGATCATTACTAAATATTCTCCGGCTACATTCATGGAAATCTGCATTGAGGCCGAAGGATCTTCGGGATTATACAGATTGAGTATCACATCAAATTCTAAATTCGTATATGTAATTATCAAATAAAGCTTTTCAACTTTCTTTCGAAAAAAGTTTCATATAAAAAAGAAGAAAGGCTGGAATGTTCTTTAAATTTACATTGCAGATGAATCTCGGTTCTTGAATCTTGGTATTTAGATAGTCCGAGGAGCATCGTGCAGGGCAAACTCAGAGCATTTGCCGTATTACTGAGAGATAAACGGGAGAGAAATGGTTCAAAAATGCCTTTCTTGCATTTAGCGTATGTTATTTTCTAGCCAGACTTTTTGGCCGGTACATTATAGAGTGCGCGTAATTTTGCCGATAGGCCCGTCTCTGACGTGTACTGGTGTATATAAATTTTGACAATCTTATAAGCATAATTTTTACTATACTTGTTCATTCCATTGCCTATTTGAGATGAGATTTAGGATCCTTACTGATGTTTCTATGATCCCCATCACAAAAATAATTACATATAAGTAGAACTATATTGAAGGTGATCCGCCTACGGTACGATCATTTGACACGGAAAGATATCCGCTTAGTAGATTTTTACTGGGAAAGTAAAAACTTGAAATTTAATTGAAACAGGAGGTTTTGCCTTTGCAATGAGCGCTACAATAATTAAAGACGGCTTTAAAAAGAGCCGCTAAGCTTATACAAAGTAAGAATGGATTAATGATGTACAATTAGGCAAAATATTAGAAGAAGCTTTCATTATACAAAAAGTTGATAGCCCTTTCATAATCGAATTCATTGATTTGATCCCGGATGAGAAGTACTTTTATTCAATCATTGAGCACCAAAAACCGTACAAGGAAGAGTTTAGGAGTACAAATGAGCGAAAAGCTCAGCCTAACCAAGAAAGTTGCGTTACCATTTGCATTTACAGCACAAAGCAAGCTGGAATTGACCCCCGAAATATTTCAAGCACTATACCACCAATGCAATATGAAACTTAACTTGAGCAGCAAATAAAATCCAATTTCAAGAAAAACAATCCAAGCCAGAAGACAACACTTGCCACACGTATTCTGCAATACCGTAAAGGTATTTCATCTATATAAATGTCTGGAAACACAAATATGTTTATAAGAAGCTATTGTTCGATGGGTTTTTGCTTCCTTCAACAATGTTTTTGCACAAATTGTTGAAGGAGTTTATGATTTGAACAAGCAAGAGATATACTATCGTGATATAAAAGATGATAATTGTGTTATAAATCAAGATTTCATTGTAAAGTTGATCAGTCTCGGCTCAGCAATAATCATTGCGAAAAACGAGAAAAGTCATTGTTCCAAAAAATTTTCACGGAACGATTTCTTTTGCTGAATCTAGTGAAATTTCTGTTGAAATCTTAAAAGAAGAAGTTTATCAAATTTCTGAAGCAGAAGTGTGGAGCTTAGGTGTATTGTTGTATATCATACTGAACGGAGCGCTTGCATGTACGAACTCCCAAATGGCAATCGTTAGTTCGGTTTGCTTATAGCGAGGAAGTTTTAAAGCCAAGTACTCGTTGTCTTCAAACTTCTGCTGAAGAGCGCGACTCGACAGGCGATTTGACAACATTCTTGGGTAAGGAGAACCTGGTTTTAGATCGTGAGAGCTTTATTGTACCATACCAATCTCGACTTCAATTTAGATGTTTGACGCTATGTACTTATGGGCTATCGGATGAGAAAGGATGCTGAGGATTCCACTTGAACTCTCAGAAATCAAAGTCTATTCATACTTTACCAATCTATAGTACATTTCACGGTTTGCTTAATTGCTCCCATCTATTGAACAAAAAGAATCCGCTACAAGCTGTAATGTTCAAAACAAGAGCGATCCGAAACTAAGCATTTTGTATACCTAAAAAACCCTCTAACACTACATTCAAGAAAACTGAACCGGTTTGTAAAGCGTCTGAAGCACAAGCACGAGCAGTAGTTGTCATCAAATCTCCATGAATCTGTGCAGTCATAAGAGTGAGAGTTACGTGAAAGCGTGTCATTGTTGCTAAAAGTGCCATTCCAACGCCAACAGATTGAAATGTGTCTAAACGGCTGAGCCGAAGCCATAAATTTCTTGCTACCAAACCTTGATGCTATGTACCTTCCAATCCAAGGAACTCAAAGTGCCATTGCAGAAACAGGCCACCAAGTTTGTGCCCGACATGGTGCTCTTCATCCTGCTGCTATGATTGGCAATAGCCAGGAATGTGTTTTACTCTAAAATGAAAATCCAGACATGATGGCACTCCAAAGAAAGATAAAAAAAGCTAGTAATGCAGTTTGCCATGAAGGCGTATGTTTGCTAGACCAGAAGGAAGACCAATTGCGACCTGTTTGAGTGAAAAGGAAGATTATTTTGGCGAGTACTATCAAAAAAAATCTTATAAGCATTTTACGATGAATGAACGGTTATATAAAATGAAGGAGTTGAACCAGGCTTCCGGCGATAATAACTTGAAAGTCCATAAAAAATAAAATGCAAAAATTCAAAGTAAAATACAGATTGTATGCAAAAATAAGTAATAGATTTAACTCGAAGATTTAATATTGGATATATTTTGACGAAATTTGAGCCCCAACACCAACACCAAAGTATACATATATAAAAAAGTTGTAAACCTTGAAGTAAACAAGCGAGAAAGTTCCATCTTCGAACAGGAAAACCACCTTCATCACAAAAATTGAGAGAGTAGTAAAGTGATCCGGAAGCAGAAGGGGCAGCATAAAGACTTGCAACTATGCTCCAAATCTATCCACGTTCTTTAACAGAAGATCCATACTGTACTACACCAATAAAAAGGAATGCAAAACTGTAAGGAATGAAAGAAATGGATAGAAAAACATTGATTTGAATCTTTCGGAATGATGACCAATATGTAATTGTTGCAGAAATATAAATCGAACGAAGAACATAAAGTTCTTTGGCTTTTTGTTCAATTTGACAAGCTAAAAGTGTGATTTGATAAGAATTTGAAGCCTTTATTTGTCCTATAGCCAGAATTAGAGAATATACTGGCCAATCACCAATCCTTTTTTAAACGTATTTAAATAAAATTCCTTGGAAATCTCCTATTCTTCGTTCTGACACTAATGCAGAATCAGATTGATCATCCAGTCCAGACCATCGAACTAATCGTTCTGAGTCACTATTTCTTCTCGAGAAACTTTTATCTGTTCTGAAAGAGGAACAGAATCTACCTATAGTAGCTAGATTTAACTTTCATTTTTAGCGTTTCAGCAAACCACTCACGTTCAGAATCGATCAAAATTTTTCGATGCATGTACTTGAAGCTTTTATGATGCATGAGGAAGAAGCTTGACCCAATTTACAACTACATTTTGTGAAAAATGAGTCGTCCGGATTGGTGAACTGTGTGTTAATGTTTTGCAATGAGTATGCGCTCCTACGTGTTAGATCATTTAAACCAGCTTTTGTGTCGATTAATTTTGTAGAGGATCTGTAAGATGCTATTTGAGGTAAAAATATAATTTCCTCTTCGATCACTAGAATTTCGGTATCATAGTTGTATTTGATGGAAAACTTGAAGAAATCTAATTGTGAAGATTCGACTGAAGTATCTTTGATTCCTGCTGGAAAAACGTCCGTTGAAGATGAATCACTGATCAATGTTTTTCTAAGAAGGTTTGTTTCGATGGCAGGTATCATATTTTCGGTTTCGCAATCCTACATTTTGAACCCGTAAAGGTGAAAAAAAAAACGATGGGACAGCTGGTGGAGGTTTGAGAGGGGATAGGAAAACTCGCTTCAGGATCTTCATTAGCGTAAAAATCTTCAGCAGCATTTGAACTTGTGATTGGACATTGAATTTGATTTTGAGAATCTTGAATTTGGTTCAAAAGCTTTTCGCCCTATTCTTCATGAATATAGATAGAGTTTTATTGTAGTATCTCAAAGATTTCGACGATTTTGCATCAGGAAAACGCTGTTTAGCAGGTCCAGCACGCATAAGAGTACGAATCCGGTTTTTTTTTTAGAAAAAGTTCTTCTCCTATTGCTTGTTGAAGTTGTCGTAAAAAATGAAAATTTGACACTGCTTCAATCAAATACCACCTACTAGACATATTCACTAAGCCACAACACGCTCACCAACGCCAAGAGCCCCTTTTCGTCAAAATTCTACTGCGACAAAACCAAAAGGTTCATCACGAAAAAAGATGAAAGCGAATTCTGCTCCGGCAATAATGTGCTTAAGATTTTGGATATTGCTTTATAAGATGGCTAGGTTCAAGTGCAGCAAAAAGTCTGTATAAATCAATGGCTGGTCCAATGCAAATCAATTGAACGTTTGATGTTCTTAAGAATTTTTGGCAAAACATCGGCAATAAGATCAACACCTTTTGTACTGACCATCTACCAACAAAACTACCATATTTTTCGATACTCCTACTGCACAAAAACACGTTGCTGGATACGTAAATAGCTCGCTTCTGCGTGATGTAAATTGAAAATTTCACCAAGTTGATCTATCTACATACTATTTCGCTTGTTATGGTAAATACTCTGCGAACTTTTTTGCATTCTGCTGTTTTTCTCATCAGCCATAAATTTCGAAGTTCGGCATTGTGTAAAGAAAAATAACAGGGAATCGCTTAGGCAACCGTGATAATTATTGATATGATAAGGGTCAATAGGAAATTGATGAGCTGTATGGGCTTTCCATTGATTCCAAGCTGAATAATAAATTGCTGAATTGATATCATCCATTTGTGTTGGATATGATTTTTCTTTGTTTTCTTGTTGAAAGATAGGATCATCTAGTAGCACATACGTGACATTTTTCAAGAAATGATATTGAGCTTGAATGCTATAATCAACACCAAGAATTGTGACACGCATTGTTTCTGCAGGCGTATTGATTAGATAATTGACATCACCATTGCAAGGGGAAACCCAAATGAGATCTTGACTACCAAGTCTTTTTCCCATTAACTGTGCCAATTATCACTTTGATATTTCAAACTTCTTTATTATAATCGATAGTACCTATAGAAATCGTTCTTTCCCATTATTGTTCAATGTGGTCGTAGATTTTTCATCTTTCATCAGAGATCGACTTCTGCTACGGCTAGATAATGCTAATTTTGACAAGGTAGAATTAATTGAATGAAAAATTAAACTTTTTTATACTTCCTATATTTTCACTGTCCTTTTCAATTACACTTGAGTCGGAAAGTATGTTGCGTTTCGTTGTTTGAAGAATGATATATATGCGTTCTAGAGTAGGTGGAATAGAACGTTCTTGTAAACTTGAGCCTAATTGATTAAATTAACTTGTAAAAGCTTTTAATAAAAGCTAAAACTGCCAAAAACGCCGGAATGAACGAAGTCAAAGCTAATAAACAAAAAATGATCATTTTATTAAATTTGGTCCGGTAGGCTAACAAAAAACATTGTTGCATTGCTAATGTGTAATGCCTATGTTGAATGCATCATATCTGGACTTTGAGTTATATTGATATAAATTGAGCTCAATGAAGAAGGAGAAAGTCTATCAAGGACCATATCACCATCAGTATCTCCGATAACATATGTTCGATCGAGTAAAACGTCAGGATTCGTACCCCAAACATTGAGTTGACCTATAGCATGCCATTTATTCATGAATTGGTAATACCAAATCTTATCTTCTAATCGATACTAATCTTCATTTTTTATAGATGCATCAAAGCCTTAACCGTTGTGCGGTCCATTCAGTGTAAATGAGAAAAGCGCTTCATCACTACCTCTCTTTCTAAATCACCTTCTTGTATCATATCGGTTGATCCAACAATACGAGTATAATAACGCTTTACACGGTTATGAGAACCTTTCCATGCTTGTTCTTTAGTGCCATTCAATCGAGAAGGGTGATCTTCGTACTTTCATCCCTGTAAGCCATCCAATCGCTAGAGGTAGAGCTCCAATGAGGTGTATATCTCCAAAGATCAGCACCACCTGCGTTATGAGCTAAGGCGATGACTATGGTCCAGTTTCGCAAATTTTCGCTTCGTGTCACAGAAGCAGAACAGTTTGCAATACGAGCAGTTCCTTGCAAATTTTATAATTACTTTTTTCTTCTTCTTAACAGTAAAATTGGCGCCACCGTAGAGCGGCTTGGTATTTGACCCTTCCTGCAACCTGATTTGCTTTTCCACGTGAGATTAGAAGTATAATTTTTCCCCCTTGAAGTTTTTCCGGGATAGAAATGTAGCAAAACCACATTTCAATGAGTTCATGTGACTTTTAACATATTTCTGACGACGTTTACGAAGTAGTTTGGTAAAGCCGCTGGCTTAAACAAAGGAAACGGATCTGGTGCACCTTCACCTGCTGATCTTGCTCAATGGAACGAAAGATTCAATTTTTTGATCCAACGTTTGGCACAACCTCCGGAACAATTGGTAACTTTGTTCCCATCTACAAGAGCTAAGACAAGGTTGCCATTCGGTGCACCTGCCTTGGATGTTATACGTAAAGCGCAATTGGTAATTGAAGGTCGCGACATTTGGCAATTGATGACTGTAATTGCAGTAAGTGCAAATATGACTCAACAACAAGTCTTGGTTACTGAATTACGTAAAAGTTCTTAGAAAAATGTGTTGGAAGCCAAACAATGGTCAGAAGTCAATCCGATCGCAGCCACTCATGGAGAAGCAGATCTTCGAATCAGAAATGTGAACTTATTATTACACGCACTCAATCTTCACGCTGCACAGATTACTGTATAAGTGCAGAAACAATACAAAATTGTACATCTTGGCCTTCTTTCCTCAACCTTTTTCCCCTTAAAACATGTATGGTTCTCATCTCATATCAAATGTGCCAATCAAAATTTGAAATTCTTGGAAAACAATTGTAATGAATAATATTACCGGTATCCTTGTAGGAGGAAAGAAAGATAAAAAAGAAAGGATAATGTGACAGTAGACAAGAAGGAGAGGACAAAATGCAATGAGACCAAACTATACAAGGATTTGATTATCGAAGCGCTTGAAGGGAACGGAAAAAAAAATTTTCTAAGAAAAATGATTGTACAAAGGTTAGACTCTCGAAAATATATCAATCATTGACGCATCAATGAAGGTAAAAACGGATGTGATCGTTCACCGGTTTGGACTTATTGATTTGGTACTTTGAACACGCTGCCTCCGACCTCATTTGAGGTTTTGTTACCTGAATAGGATGAGTGTATGCCGTCTGGCATTCCCATAGGATAGGATTGGATTGAATCACACGAGCTTGAACGGCTATTTGCAATTCCAATAGACTATTCTTACGTTTTTCTTGTGTCATGTCATCTCCTCCGCCTGTCTGTGATCCTCTTCGAAGTTTTCCGTGTGCTTGAAGGTCTAGATCACGTTTTCGACATTCTTTGGCATACAACAATCCACAAGCATTGCACAATGTTCTTGAACCTGATGGACCTTTTCGCCATTCAGGCGTCTCTTCTGCAGAACAACTTACACAACTTTGCTCAGCTTCATCACGTCTTTTACGTACTCTTCTTGGCATCGCTTGTGAAATTCTTCCGTGATGAGAGTAAGATATGGTTCCTGGACCACCTAAATGGGCGGATGACATGGACCGCATATCATCTTGAGGTGAAGAAGGGCCAGTAATGAATCGACCGTCATACATTGGCGTTGCATAACCTGAAGAAACTCTGCACTCAAGTTCCATCACTCTTTGGTTTATTGTCTCTCGGCCATGCATCCCGTATTCTGGCCTATGATAGTTGTACGCTGGAAAGTACATTTCTTGACCTCGTGTCGTGTGAGGAGCACTCGAAGGCGTTTCGCTATATCCGCCCGGCATTAAAGGAGTGCCTTGCGGCATTTGCGAAGATGATACAGGTCCCTTTGGATGGTTTGGCGGAAAAGTAGAAGAAAAACTGTGGTATTGTTGATGTGGTTGATAATGCGAAAAACTTGAGCGATCTCGATTAGAGGCCATGAAGACTGTGCTTGATCGTGCACGCATTCTTTGTCTTCGATGGGAGAATTGGTCGTGTAAATGACGAACATCCAATGCAAAATGATCAGCCGATCGACCATCAGCTTCGGCTAAGACATCAATCTCATAAAGCAAGTGTGAAGTCAGAGTTGCAACATCACCATCACGGATTGAAGGTAAAGGCCGAGGTCCTTCCGCAGAATTTTTTGATTGATATCTTTCGATATGCCTACGTACTTCCAACATCACATCCCACAATTGATTGAATAATTTCAATTCTGTCGATGATCGAACTTGTGATCGATAGAAATGCTGAGAAGGTGCACGCAAAGATGAAGGAGAGGAAACAAGAGAATGTTCGTCGATGCTGTAAGGATCAGAACTGAATGTAGTCGTAAAAGAAGGAGGAGGAGATTGCACTGAACGATTGCTGGCACATTTTTGACCATCCGATGTTGAAGTTCGTGCTCTGAGGTGGACATAAGAGGGGTGTGTGACAAATGCCATTGCGGGTGAGAGATAAGCAGGTGAAGGACCAGATTCTTTGAACGACATAGATTGTCGGTCGCGCGAACCTTGCATTTTTTGTTCCCTGGCAATCCAAGAAGGTTTACCATATCCATCGCGATAAGAAGATGGGTGTCCGCCTATGTCGCTATGGTAATGCCCATCCATGTCCGATCTCTCTGCTCCGTTTTTTTTTCCAAGCATGTGCGCCGAAGAGAAAAAGTCATTCTTTGTGGATAGTGTTAAAATGGGTCACTTCTTTATTGATTTTGGGAGGAGGAAGGGTCCTCTTGAGTGAAAGACGAATAAAACCCTAGAAAGGGTCTCACGGCCTACTGTAACAAATCATTAACCGCCGCTTATGTAGAGAAAAAATAAAAAACAAGCCATCAACGTAATCACTTTAGGCTGTTCTAGTCAAGGCAAGCAGGCCTCCACAGTTGTATAAAAAGATAAAAAGAACTGCTAACATCAGCTTCGATGCACGATCTGTATGCATACATGCATGCACGCATCGGAACTTATTCGATTATGTGTGAAGCCGGTGAATATTTTTTGCCTGTTTTTTTATTTTCTAGGAATGAGAATAAGCTAGGCGAATACAATTCATTTTCTGTGTCCGGAAAATGAAATTTGTGAACACATATACTACACAAACCCACTTTTGTGTATGTCCCTTTGTTAGCGTCTTTTTGACAGGGTTCATTGTGATCACTTTTGTTGTTAAAAAAACGGTATCTTGATCCCGAGATTTTAGTCCAAGTATTGTTGAAAAAAAGAACCGAAATTTTTGCTATGAATCGAGTGGTCGGCAATCAAATCATTAACCATAGAAAGCGGCTAGAAAAAGCCAGAGCGAAAGACCTCTTTCTTTTAAACATACGAAAAACGATAAGCCGAACATGCCTTTGCAATTTTGCAGTTTACTCCGCTTTTGGTAGATTCACATCTAAGTTACTGTTTCTGCGCTGCGCCGCGTATCCGATTCACAACTCTGCTCACACCCTTTTATGCCACCTTTCTCCACCTGCATCGTGATTTTGATAATTATTCTACAGGAAATAAAACGCGTTCCAAAGTGGAGTTCTTGAGGGAAAGGGCTGATACATGGCAATAGATGTCAAAACCTAATTATGCGAATAAATGTACGAGAGGGTTTGTTGTATAATCCCTTTTAAAAACCTTTAATGATTACGTGGACATTCACTTCCTTATACATATCAGACCACCAAACAATTGATCAAAAAATAATAGAGTCGTAATCACATCGTAAGGATTTTGGTGCCTTGATCGATCAAGATCAACTTATCCAATTATATAAAAAGCCCGAATTTATTTGATCTCGACCACCAATCAAATAGCATAGCTAATAGGAATGCTACGCGCCTTTGCCAGCATATTATCTATTAATCTAGCCGAAGCGCTGCGACTCTCTGCCGTTTAGCTGAGCAACTTGGAATCAGGTTGAAGCTGTCTAAAAGCGCATGATGACACATGTCTTTTGCTGTATTGCGAGATTTTAAACATCTCTTTACAAACGAAGAAGAAATTCTTCTCTATACAACAGATTTTTTCGGCGAAAACCTTAAGAAAAAGCTAAAAATGCTTGAAAGTGAACCGCTTGGGAAAGCAAAAATGCTACATTCTTTTCCGTAGAATCCTGGATCTGCGATCGAACGCTAAGACATTCTTCAACTTCATATGAAGTCAAAGTCCGTCATCTTTAATTCCAATTGCTATGTCGGACCTCGTCTCTTTGACGCTTTTTCGTTTGCTTCTAAACCTGAGCAGGATAACGAATAGAGCTATCGCTTGCGATCAGATTTTGTTTTTCGCGTTCATTCGTCTCTTTCGCGTTTCTTGATTGAAGAAAATAATAATCAGAAAGGCTGTCAAGACGCGAACTTCCAGCTCAGGCCACTTTGACATTCGGAGTCATTTTCCTTTTCCTCCTTTCAAAAGTTTGACTTGTTTAAAAAAATCCTTTGCAAGAGTAAAACCAGCGACAAAGGGTATTTAAACAATCAATTGTCATTAGAGATGGAAACAGCCAAGAAGATTGTGGCGCATACGGGAAACAGACAACAAGTTATCATCATCATCTTTTCATCTTTGTTTCAGCTCCTTTTTCACCGTTCATTAGCATCCTTTTACTTTCCTGTGATCTACAACCCACTACTTGAACATATAAAGGATTGTGTGGGGCATCCGAAAGTATAAATACGTACGATCACTTTCTCTCAAAAAGTAGACAAAACAGCACTGCCGATTCGATTTTACTCTCCTTTCGTTCAATTTTAAATTGGTCGTGATAGGCACAAGAAGAGTGCATCAACATTTCAAATAATTTAGTGTCTTAATTAGGATTTGGCGAATACACCATCGATGGAATCATTTGTACAACCAACACAAGAGTGTACACAACGATCGGAAGAAGAGCGAGAGATTCAGCGGCTGATAGCTTCAACACCTTTTACAGTACAGTAATACCGTTTCTGTTTGGCCTAGAGAGGGGATTCTAGACCAAGAAAAAAGGGCTCAAGAAAACAGAAAGATACACAAGGGACTCCTCTCGAGAACTTTGTGTGCTGAAAGTGGATGTAATTTTTATTCAGGATAAGATAACACGCTGACGCATTCTTTTCTTTTAGATTAGGCAACATCGTCCACACGATACTCTGACGCTGGCAATCAATCGAGCAACTCAAATCTAGCAATTCTCCATCTTGATCCGACCCTGGAAGACTCATTAGGTACTAGTGTTCAATTACTTATTGGAACAAAAGTACTGAATTTCATTCATCCTCACGAAGCAGGACGTATAGAGATGGAAATATTGCAAAACACATCTGAAGGAAGAGCTAGGAGCAAGGTGTTACAATGTATGACAAGATGCGTTGCATCGATGGTTAGATGTGCCCAATCTTTTGTTAATGATCATTCTTCGGCACAAGTAGAAGAGTCGAAACACTTGGGCTCGAATCATCGTCACCACCACCACCACCACCATTACCACCACAACTACAACAACAAGCAGACAAAGATGGCATGAATGCCCTTGCCAATTTTTCTACCCTTTCAGATACACCCTCTTCATTATCTATGCATGCATTTTCATCCAAAATGGATATCATTACAAATACTCGTCGTACTGATTTTCCAATCACAATATCACCATCGAAGACATATCCTTAGACGTCTCTCCCAATCGTTCACTTGAACAAAATTCATCTTCAGAGTCCCAAACGTAGTAACAAAACGAGCCACAGGAATAATTGTAGTATAACAGAAATATCCAGTATTGTAACCTAATTGCTATGACTTCTTTTGGCCTTTAGGCTCCAAAATGTTTGCAGACTTATCTGAGACTCCTCATCATGAAGAATTTGCTAAATAGATACATTTGGATAACACGAACGTGACAAATTTCAAGTTTCTAAGATGTAGTTATAAAAAGACAAGTAAGTTTAGCATGTATAGTACAAGAACGTTTTGTACATGTAAACTTTGCAAATTAGTGTGAGAGCCACTAAAAGAATGGGTAAATATAGCGGGGGTTTCTTGAAACAATTTCATTAAGAAACTGCGTATAGATCTACAGATGCCATCAATAAGATAACAGAGATAAGTGTGATTGAGAAAAAATATCTTGATAAAGCCTGTTAGAGTTGTCCTTACGATTCATTGTCTCTGATACGATGAGCGACTAATACAGTTTCATGTCGTGCTTTTTGATGTTGCGTGCAGTTGTCTCGTCGGGTGAATGTCGAATAAAAAGCCTTTGTGGGGACATCTGAACGGGCGCAAAGGATCATGAATTCGGCTGTGCCTGCGCGCGTGACCACTGGTGCTGAAATGCTTTTCGCAACCTGCATGAGGGCATACATGGCGCAATTGTCTTGCTTCCTCCCTCCTGAGATTCACTCCGTCAATTGTTTCACCACATATAGAAAGTATGATCACTTTACCGATCACACTTTCACCACGTGTTTGTACGGATGATGGCGATCTTGCAGATTTGGTATTACTTACATCTACCGACGTTTTTAATGATTTACGCATTTCTAATTTCCTTGATTCACGCAATAGTGCTTCCATCCATCTCTTCTTTGCATCGGTAGACAGACCTGCCAAGCGGCTTTGTTGGTTGCGAGACGCTGGATTAAAATTTAAAAATGATCGTAATGCATCCAACGTGCTGGCATCTTGCGATTGCGTTTGTGACAGCACGTCTTTGATAAGTAGGTCTGCATTTGCCGAGTCTAATTCGCGCAAAACACTTTCTTGAAGATTTTGCAATTGCGACTCGTGTGGAATTGATTGCAGCCCTCTGTTTAGCATCAAAAAGGGTAGAAGGATGAGTTTGAACTAGATGAGATATTATCTTCATTCGATGACTGCCCATGTTGAAGGCCAGCGGCATCCATTTTTACTTTACACATTGTCTCGGCGGGGGCTCTCGGGGTGATATGCTCGCCAACATCCACCTGAAAAAGTGAGGCAGCCAGTGCTGATGATGAATCTATATCTTTATCGTTCGTAGGAGTATGAGAAAGAAAATAGCCGCCTTTTTGGATGGTACTGTTGATTTCCGAATGGAGATCGTGTAATGCTTTAAACTGTTTATTGCTTCCTTCTTGTGAATTCAGTCTGCCTCGCCAAAGAAGCATGGTATGCGATGATTTTGGCAGATTGCTGCCAATTTCGTGTTGTTTTGTATTCTCAGCTTCAATAGAAGTGTTGAAATGTTGAAACTTGTTATCCGTTTCCCAATTATTTGTAAAGTTGTTTATGGCATTCAATTGGGTAAGAAATTCGTTCTGTGGTTCCTCAATTATGTTTCCATTATAACACTCCAACATGGCTGGATCAATACCGATTGTCGAATCATTGAGATCATGTGAAACTACTTTTACAAGAGCATAAAAGGAAGAAACTTGAGCCATATTTGCTAAGGGAACAGGTGTGATTCGTTAATATCGTGTATATCTCTCAGACGGAGCCGTCAAAATTTTTCATTTGTTCTTGATGAGGTTCGAAGCAAAATTTGAGATGGTGATGAATGAAAAGAAATGTAACGATCGAATACGATTTATTTTTTTTTTCTTCTTGGATTTATATCGCTTGATTACATTTTCTTTGCTTGAGCGGTATAAGGTAGACGCACGCTTAAAATTTTGGTCTATTCTTTTTAACCCTATAAATAAAAAAGAATTCAACGGCGATTTTTGTGAAGAAAAGGGGAATTCGTAAACATAGAAATCATGTCAGTGGTAGTAATACGGTCCTTTTGAGAATATCAAGCAACCTACTTTGTAAAATGCTTGCAAGCCAACAGCAAGCCAGGCATCCACTTTCTGTACTTGATCGGAGGTTTTACACCTCTTTCTATTTTTCTACCAGCATTCAGAGCAAAGAAGAACACCTGTAAAATCAGAGGAGGATCAGACCTCTCCCTTACGCAAAGCTTTCTAAAAACGCTTTCTCAATTTTATACCGGTGAATAAAATTCGCAAACTTTATCTAGTGCAGTGGCGCAGAGATTGATATGAAACTGTAACGGTGATAAAGGCGGAATGAAAATCCCCTTAGGAATAATTGATGTTTCTATACAAAAATTCACTACTCAAGCAGCCTAAACGAAATTTCTACTTCCTTCAGATATAAAGGTAAAGTGAAAACACCGTGTGTTCCCATTGATCGATCCATTTACATCGTGATCTATCAAATACAGGGCTTTGACTGCGCTTCGTCAGTGTGATTCAAGAGGTACACGAACATCGGTCGGATCCTGCAAAATCTTTTCACAACAGTCATTGCAGTATACGCGCCAAATTAGTCTATTGTTTTCTCGGATCCCCTTTGTGGCGCGAGGTCTTTGGTTACGAGGAATACTGCGAGCTAACTCATGAATGTCGGTTGATCCTTTTTTTTTCTTATGAGACAATATTGCTGCATGATCGATATCAGACTTTGTGGGCCGCTCTGGGAGCGTGACCAAATCTTATCTGCTTTATCCGGACGAATGGATCAAACTGAAATTTTGAGTGCCCCTTCCAAACGCCGCATTCTTATCGAATGTATTTCCGCCCAGGTTCCCTGATCTCCAATCAATTCGACGATCATAGTCGGCAAAATGTGACATACTAAAACATCCAGCTGCTCATCATGCTATACTTTTAGTGATGCAAAAAGGAAACAGTAAAAAGGGCAAAAATGTGCTATATAGTTGAACACCGCTTCTAAGGTTAGTGCTGAGTCAAGATCTAGCGCACCGGTAAGAGAGTCACAGGCGAGGCATATCGCTTGGTGTATGTATTATTAGAATGGTGTTGGATTGGCACCGTATAACGAATGCATCCAATTATCGACCTTCCATACGATCAAGGGTTCTCGGAAGCGTTGTGATCGATATTTTTTTTTTTTTTTTGCTACGCGCCAATATCATGCTTAATGACATACTCACACCTCGCCATTAGATCATGAGATATTCTTCCAATAGGCTTGCGTAGCCATGTAATACAATTTGAGTGCAACTTCTGAGCCTCAACTGTTGTCTTTCTACACTCCATTCGGTTTTTTGGACAATCCTATTTTCCATAATGGAGTAATCTATACATCTAACGATTTTATTAGATTGCAACTTTACTCTATCGTTTCTGATCTCGACTGGTATATGGTAGCTACTTCTCATCCTAAAAGCTTCGACATGTTCGTATCGACCTAAAAGGA